CTTTACTGAACTGATTGATGAGTTGAATTAGTTTTTCTGTGGAGTTTTTGGGGTTCTCTATGTATATTATCATATCATCTGCAAATAGTGATAGTTTGACTTCTTCTTTTCCTATTTGGATTCCTTGTATGTCTTTCTCTTGTCTTATTGCTCTGGCTAGGACTTCCAGTATTATATTGAAAAGCAGTGGTGAGAGTGGACATCCTTGTCTTGTTCCAGATCTTAATGGAATTGCTTTCAACTTTTCACCATTGAGGATGATACTGGCTGTTGGCTTGTCATAGATGGCCTTTATGATGTTGAGGTATGTTCCTTGTATCCCAAGATTTTCAAGGGCTTTTATCATGAATGGGTGTTGCACTTTGTCGAAAGCTTTCTCAGCATCTATTGATATTATCATATGGGTTTTATATTTCTTTTTGTTGATGTGTTGGATAACGTTGATTGATTTTCGGATGTTAAACCATCCTTGTGTCCCTGGAATGAATCCTACTTGGTCGTGGTGAATTATCTTATGGATACATTGTTGGATTCTGATAGCTAAAATTTTATTGAGGATTTTTGCATCAGTGTTCATTAGGGAGATTGGCCTGTAGTTTTCCTTTTTTGTGTTGTCCTTATTCGGTTTTGGTATTAGTGTAATGTTGGCTTCATAGAACGTGTTTGGTATTGTCCCTTCCTTCTCAATTTTTTGGAAGAGTTTGTGAAGGATAGGCACTAATTCGTTTCTGAATCTTTGGTAGAATTCATTTGTAAATCCATCAGGTCCTGGGCTTTTGTTTTTGGGAAGGTTTTTGATTACCATTTCAATTTCGCTGCTTGTAATTGGTCTGTTTAGGTGTTCTATTTCTTCTTTATCTAGCTTTGGGTGATTGTAGAGTTGTAGGAATTTGTCCATCTCCTCTAGATTGTTTTACTTGTTTCCATATAACTGTTCATAGTAGTTACTGATTATTCTTTTGATTTCTGCTGTGTCCGTTGTGATTTCTCCTCTTTCATTTATGATCCTGTTTATTTGTGCTTTCTCCCTTTTTTCCTTTGTGAGCCTGGCTAGGGGTTTGTCTATTTTATTGATTTTTTTCAAAGAACCAGCTCTTGGTTTCATTGATCTTTTGGATTGTTTTTTTAGTTTCAATTTCATTTATTTCTGCTTTGGTTTTTATTATTTCTTTTCTTCTACTGGTTTTGGGGTTTTTTGTTGTTCTTTTTCTAGATCTCTGAGCTTCAAGATTAGGTTGTTTCTTTGAGTTCTTTCTTGTTTTTTGATGTGAGCTTCTATTGCTATATATTTTCCTCTTATTACTGCTTTTGCTGCATCCCATACATTTAGGATATTAGTGTCCTCCTTGTCATTCAATTCAAAGAATTTTTTAATTTCTTCTTTTATCTCCTCGTTAGTCCAGTGGTCTTCCAGTAGTGTGGTTTTTAATCTCCTTGAGGTAGGATAGTTCCTTGCCTTCTTTTTATGGTTTATTTCTAGTTTGATGCCTTCATGGTCAGAAAAAATGGTTGGTATGATTTCAATCTTGGTGTATCTGTTGATGTTTGTCTTGTGCCCCAGTATGTGATCGATCCTGGAGAATGATCCATGTGCGCTTGAGAAAAATGTGTACTCCGTTTTTTTGGGGTTTAGTGTTCTATAGATGTCTGTTAAGCCCAAATGCTCTAGGTCCTTATTTAGAGCTTTAGTTTCTTTACTTATTTTTTGTCTTGTTGATCTATCCATTGTTGATAGTGGTGTGTTGAAGTCTCCCACTACGTATGTGTTTTCTCTGATGTCTGTTTTCAGAGAGGACAACAGTTGTCTGATATATTTTGGTGCTCTTTCGTTTGGTGAGTATATGTTAATGAGTGTTATTTCTTCTTGAAGTATTGTCCCCTTGATCATAATGTAGTGACCACTGGGGTCTCTTTTTATTTTTTTGAGTTTGAAGTCTGTTTTATCTGATATAAGTATAGCTGTTCCTACTTTCTTTTTTGGTCCATTTGCTTGTAGGATTGTTTTCCATCCTTTAACTTTAAGCCTATTTTTATCTTTTGTAGCTAAATGTGTTTCCTGGAGACAGCAAAAGGTTGGGTTTTGTTTCTTAATCCAGGCTGCAACTCTGTGTCTTTTTATTGAAGAGTTTAGTCCATTTACATTTAGAGTTAATATTGATATGTTAGCATCTGTATTTGCCATTGTGTTTGTCTTTCCTTTGATTTTATTTATTTATTCTTTTAATAACTTTTTTTTTTTTTTTTGGTCTTCTTTCGTTGTTATTCATCCCTCTGAGGTTCTGGCTTTAGGATTCCTTGTAGTATTTTTTGGAGTGGGGGTTTAGTCGTAATGAAATTCCGGAGTTTCTCTTTGTCTGGGAAGGTCCATATTCTTTCTTCAAAGAGGAAGGAGAGCTTTGCGGGATAGAGTATTCTTGGTTGGCATCTGTTTTCTTGGAGTCCGTTGACTATGTCCCTCCACTCTCTCCTTGCCCGTAGTGTTTCTTCAGAGAAGTCTGATGTCAGCCTGATTGGTTTTCCTTTGAATGTTATCTGTCTCTTCCCTCTTGTCAGCTTCATTATTTTTTCCTTGTCCTGGATTCTTGGGAGCTTTACTATTATGTGTCTTGCTGTGTTTTTCCTTTCGTCGTGGAAGTTTGGTGTTCTTCTTGCTTCTTGTATATCAATTTTCAGCTCCTTCTTCGCATTTGGGAAGTTCTCTTCAATTATCTCCTGGAATATTTTCTCTGTTCCTACATCTCTCTCCTCTCCTTCTGGAATTCCTATAACTCTTATATTTCCTTTCCTCATGGAGTCAGATAGTTCCTGAAGTCTTTCTTCGTTCTTTTTCCTTCGTACTTCTCTTTCCTTTTCTGTTTTGGTTCTTTTTATTTCTGTGTCTTCAAGAGTACTTATTCGTTCTTCCATTTCATCTATTCTGCTTTCATTGCTTTTCCCAGAGTTCTTTAGTTCCTCCATTAATTCTTTGATCTCTTGCATTTCTTTTACTTCCCTCTTTAGGGACTCAATTTCATTCTTCTGACCATTGTTTTCCCTTTTTAGGGACTCAATTTCATTCTTCTGACCATTGTTTTCCCTCTTTAGGGACTCAATTTCCTTCTTCTGATCATTGTTTTCCTTTATGACTTCTGCCACTTTTTTAATAAGGGCAATTTTAAATTCTCTTTCTGGAAGGCTCAGAAGTTCTTCCATGTTACTGTCGTTGCAATCTGGAGGGTGGTTTTCTTTTTGTGGTGTGCTTCTTTCCTGAGGCGTTGTTAGGTTGCGTGTGGTTCTTCTACTCCCTACTGTCTGTTTTCTAATTTGTCGTATGCATTGGGACACTGTGTTGCTCGGACTGGCCGTCATCTTGGGTGAACTTCTCCGCTCCCCTCTGGCTCCTCCAGGAACCATCTCTGGCTTCTGGGGGGGCTTTCTGCTGGTTTCAGGAAGTCTTTACTGAAGAAATGTCCCTTTTCTAAACTGGCGAAGCGGGACGCAGTCCCTGTACATCCGGTCTCAGGCACACACTTCTGTGTGCCCGGTCTGTCCCGGACGTGGGTGCCTGCTCCCTCTGTGGGCTCCTACTGCTGGTTGGAAGGGGCCTGGCGTGGGCTAACTTCCCAGCTGGCCACTGGGTCCTCCAGAAGCCTTCTGCCCTTTTCAAGAAGTCTTAAGAAATTTCCCTGTTCTATGGGGTGTTAGTGACTTTTTTTCTGGTCGCTAGGTGGCGCCAGAGATCTCTCCTATTGTCCTTGGGGGGCTGTTTTTCAACTCCCTCACCCCCGTGAGACAGGGAACAGAGAGCGAGAATGGTAGGATAAACCTCAACGGCTTTGGGGTGCTGTGTCTGCCTTGTGCCCCACCGTCGTGGAGAACCCACGCCCCGAATTTCTTGCCCCGGGTCTCAGTTCAAAGCCCTCAGGTCCAGGACGCGGGCTGTAGCCCAGTTCAGTGGCGCGGGAATGGCGCCTTTTGCACCCCGCTCCCGTGCCTGGGCGCCTGGTTCCTGCTCACTCAGGGAGGGCCTTTCACCCCCGTGAGGGCCTCCACGCGTCTCCCCTCAAGCCTAGGTCGCAGGCGCGGGGACCTGGGCAGCCTGGATCCCGGTCCGCGTTTGCTTTTCAAGCGTGCCAAGCGCGCCGCGCAAGCTTACCGGCAGCCCCAGCCCGGGCTGTGTGCGTGTCTCCCGGGGTCTTTGTTCTTCTCTAATGGCGCCCGGAGCCGTTCGCTCACCGCCGCGGCGGATCCTGCAGGGTTCTCCACAGCTCCCGTTCACGGGGTGTGGTGGCTGCCATAGTTCCTTTCCACTCCCAGTCCCGCTTGCTGCGTCGTTTGTTCTTGTTGGTCGTTTTAGTTTGTTGTTTTCCTCCTCTCTGCCGGTCGGAGAGTGCCGCCTCTGTGGGTGGGGGAGGGGAGCAGGGTTCTGCGCTTCCCTCCCTTCTAGTCCTCTTTTATGGCAACTTTCTTCTTCGGGCAGTTTGCTGGAGTCGTCCGTTTATCTTCCCTGTCTCAGTTCTCACTGGGACCTGCCGCTTTTCCTCCCTATTAACTTTTTTTAATGGGAGATCTTACTCGCAGTGTCTCCTCGCCGCCATGTTCCAGTATGAGTTTTGACCTGTTTCCTTGTCATATTTAAAGTTCTTAGAAAACAGTAATTACAATTTTACTCTTTTTTCATATCCCTATCTTCCAGCATATTACCTGACAATCAACAAATGTGTCTTGTGTTAATGAGAATTCTAGCTACGATAGAAAGATCATTTCAGTAAATACATTCAAGGCAGAAAGAAGAGGACAGTCCTCTGGAATATCACAATTAGTTTTGATTTGTTGGAATTATTCCATTGTGTTGAGATCAGCTATCACAAAGATTTTAATATTGCTTTTTTCTTTTGACATAATTCCTAGCATTATGGGTTTTTTTCTTATGCCTAAAGGAGGTATATATGAATTTTTTAAAAAATGGGTTCAAAGAGGAATAGCCAGTATCTAAGTTGAAATTTATCTTTATTTTTCAGGATGTGGCTTTATTTCTCCAAGAATTTAATGCTCCTGACATATTTATGGGCGTATTGGCCAAATCTAGATGTCCTCGATTAAGAGTAAGTATATATATATATATATATTATTTATATAATATATATATTATTTTATTTATATATTATTTATATATATATTATTTTAGATATATATATATCTAAACCTCCTCTTTGGAATAATAACAGATAGTGCTGGATAATCTTTTATTAATTTTCTTACTGGCTACAAATCAGTGTGCAAGTATTTATTAAACATTACTAGGTACTAGGCAATGTTGTATTTAAAATTATTATAGTCACTGAATTTTATATTTGGGATAGTCCAGGGAGATTAATACTTTCATTTAATAGCTGCGGAAACTAGATAGGAATAACTGAAGTGATACTCTAATATAAGGCAGACCAGGAAACACTCCCTGGACCTCCCATTTCTTAGTTCATTGCTCTTTTTTCATTCATAAAATCCTCCATTGCTTAAAAACCATCACTCTAAACTCAGCCTATTGCTCAAGACTTTCCATAATCTGAACCTAATTCATCTTCCAGCATGAAATCTGCCCTCCAGATGCTCCTTCTAATTTAGCCAGCCCTGTCTTACTCCTTAGCTTACTGTGATCATGCTGTTTGCCTTCCCTGCCCTCTCGCTGTTTACATCTATGATCCAAAATGGTATTTTTCTTCACAGCCTTCCCCATTGAGTAAGCTCTCAGTGGCCATTGCTAGTGGTAACTCCCCAAGACAGTCATCTGTACTTCTTATTTAGTCTTTAACTGTGTTCTGTACAGTGTACTGTGGTCAAATGCCATTTAGGTTGCACGTGATGTGCATATTTTGGGTGATTAGTAGGTCACATGTTAACTAATTATAATTATGAGTTACTGCTTGCTATTCACCAGGTATTTGTTTTAGTACTCTATGAGTAGGCATTTATCTCCACTTCATAAGTAGAAGAACTAAATCTCATGTTAAGAAGTTTATCTAAGGTTGCACAACTGGGAAAGAATGGAATTGGGGCTTGAACTTAGCCTGAACAACTTCAGTATAACTATTATAGTATGTAGTCTATTTTTCTTTGAAATTAAAAAGTGAGAATTCTGTAGTATATTTTTACAAATTCAGTTTGAATTAAATTTTTTTAAAAAGATTTATTTATTTATTTACATAAGCACTGAGTACAGTCAGAAGCACAGGAGGGTGAGAGAATTCACCAGAGCCAGAGTGGGGAGCAGAACAGACAGAGTGACGAAATACACTGCTGAGGGAAGCAGTGGGCGTGGCAGGAGAGGTCTGCGCGCCATGTGGGACCCTCGCCAGCCAGCCAGGAATTGAACCGGCACTGCAGAGGCTGCGGGCAGCTTTGCAGCCCAGCACTCGACTGCTGCGCCACTGGGTCGGCCCTGAATTAAAATTTTATGTAGTAAAATGTCCCACTTGTATTTGGTCCTAATGAACAGTGAGCCACTTTCTCCTTGGGTTGTTACATTAATATAGAGATTTGACAGTTATATGATTTTCTCTTGGATTTTTGTAACTTAAACATGTTAACTCATTTGATTAGTACTTAAAGAACACAAGCCTATGTGAGGAATGGTGCATTTAAGGAAATAGTTACATCATTATTTATGCTTGCAAGCCATAGTCTGTCTACGGCAGTGATTCTCAGCCGTGGCCACATGTTAGAATCACCTACAGCACAGGTTCTCAAGCTTCAGCATGTCCCAGAATCAATGATTACTGGGCCTACCTCCCAAAGCCTCTGATCCCATAAGGTTTGGACCAGGGCCCACATTTTGAGGAGTTTTGGTCAGCGAAGCTTTTAAAAACCCTGAATCAGGCCAAACCCAGATCATTTAAAACAGAATCTCCAAGGGGTAAGACAGCTTTTAAAGTTGCCCAGGTGATTCCAATGGGCAGCCTACACTGAGAAACTTTGTTTCCGGTTAGAAGTTCAGTTATTTCCTCTAATTTTTAAGGGAACTGCATGTGTTCCTTCTACCCCTACTCTCTTGATCTTTTCCTACCATTTGACCACATTTCATCAAAACTCTCCATTCATGTAGCTTTGGTGCTACCTCACTCTTGTGGTCTGACTTCTTCAGTCACTTCTCTGTCATTTTTACTGTTTTGTTTTTTTTTTCTTTCTTTCTTTTTCCCTATACACTGTTTGGATCTTTCTGAGGTATAGACCTAGATCCCTTGACCACATTATATTCATTTTCTTAGTGAGTTCTTCCGCTCTTTACAAATCTGTGTGTATGGGGATCAAGCTGTGACCTTTATGATTCCTGTGCCTCATCTCCACCTATTCTCTGCTTGCAAACTGGCTTTTCCAATCCAAATTTCTTAAGTTCTAAATCAGTGATTATCACATTTATTTGATTATAAAAGTCACATGGTGTAGTTGGTAAACAATAGTTTCCCAGTCCTACCCTGGAGATTCTGACTCAGTAGCTCTGAGATCGAACTTGAAAATCTGTATTTTTAGCAAACTCCTTGACTTTCAAGACTGATCCAGAAAGAAACAGATAGACTGAATCACAAATACAGAAATTGAAATAGTAATCAGAAGTCTCCTGAAGAACAAAAAGGACTAGCTGGCTTCATTTGTGAATTCTACTAAACTTTCACAGAAAATATAGTAACTATCCTTGTCAAATTCTTCTAAAAGATTAAAGAGGGGAGAATAGTCTCAACCACATTTTATGAGGCCAGCATTATTCTGATCCCCAAACCAGACAAGGACCATCATAAAAAGCAAAACTGTAGACTGATTTCTCTGATGAACATAGATGCAAATAATGCTCAACAAAATCTTGGGAAATTGATTCCAACAATACATTGAGAGAATCATTCATTCCACAGATGCAAAGACGTATCTTGCTCCCTGACTTTAAACCATACAATGGAGAAAGGAAAACCTTTTCAACAGATGGTGTCAAGAAACTTGATATCCACATGCAAAGAAATCAAACAAGATCATTATTTGACACCATACACAAAAATTAACTCAAAATGGAGTAAAGACATACATGGGATTTCAAACCATGAAATACATAGAAGAAAACACAGGTGATGCATTCCTGGACATCAACTGCAGAGATGTCTTTGGGAACTTGACTAATGGCAAAGAAAACAAAAGCAAAATGAATGGGACTACATGAAACTATGAAACTTTTGTATAGTGAAAGAAAACACCACAATAATGATAAGGAAATCTACTGTCAGTTATTACAAAACAATAAATAGCCTACTGGATATTGGCACATCATATATCTAACAAGGGGTTATCCCTTTTCAAATACCACTAAGTTTTCAAGATTTCAAGCAAAATATATAAGGAACTCATATATCTCAATAACAAAAACCACAGCTCCATTAAAAAAAAAGGGTAGAAGATTTGATTAGACACTTCTCCAAAGAAGACATACAGATGGCAAATGGGCACAGAAAAAAATAGTCAACCTCATTTACAAGGGAAATGCAAATCAAAACCACAATGAGGTATTATCACCTCACATTTATGAGAATGGATTATATCAAAAAAACTGGAAATATTTGTTGGCGAGGGTGCAGAGAAAAAGTACTTCTTGTATGCTGTTGGTGTGAATGTAAATTGGTGCAACATTTAGGGAAAATGGTATAGAAATTTCTTAAAAAGCTAAAAATAGAAATATGGTGTGACCCAGCAGTACCATCCCATGGTACTTACCTGATAAACATGAAAAGATTAATTGGAAAATATGGTTTGCAGTATAATGCACCCCTCCTTGAGGTCCCTCATGGCTTTAGATGGCTTCCTAGATGAAATGCAAACTCTTCAACATGGTATTCAGTGCCCTTATGCTGATCCTTTTATTTGCTATACTTATCTCATGCTGTTCTACCACTTAGTGCTAGAGCCAGGTTAATGTCTGTATTGTCTACTGTATTATTAATCTTATATATTAATCTTATATATTCTCATCTCCTCCCAAGCTTGGGTCAGTAAAAGTTTTTTTTTTCCAGGTTTTGTTGATTTGTCTTTTACTTCAGCCATTGTGACCTGTGAAATTTGATTTGGCAGGAAATCTGTGTGGGAATTTTAGGTAATATGGCCTGTTTTCAAGAGATATGTGTGTCCATCAGCAGTGATAAAAATCTTGGGTAAGTTTTATTACATAATAATTATGTTTTTTATTTATTTTATTTATTATTTTTTAAAGATTTATTTATGTATGCATACAAGAGCTGGGGTACAGGCCAGAGATGTGGGGGGTGAGAGGATCCACCAGAGACAGAGTGGGGAGCAGAACAGGCAGATTGACTGAAATACACTGCTGAGGGGAGCAGCAGGCGAGACAGGAGAAGTCTATTCCGCTATGTGGGTTTCTCCCTGGCCGGCCCAGGGATCAAACTCGTGCTGCAGAAGGTGTGGATTGCTTCATAAGTGCAGTGCTTAACCCCTTGCACCACCATGGAGGCCCCAAAATAATCTATTTTTTAAAAATAGATTCCTATTTCAGGGACCTCCCCAGCGGTACAGTGGGTTGGTTGAGTGCTGTGCTGTGAAGCTGTCCGCAGCCTCTGCAGTGCGGATTCTATTCCCGGCCGGCCAGGGATATTCTCACATGGTGTGGCAGATCTCTCCTGTCTTGCCCGCTGCTCCCTCAGCAGTGCTTTAGGTCTGTCTGCCTGTTCTGCTCCCTGCTTTGTCTCTGGTGAATCCTCTCACCCTCCTATGCCTCTGACCTGTACCCCAGTTCTTGTATAAAAATAAATCTTAAAAAAAAAAAAAGATAGATTCCTATTTCAAATCCCTAAGGAAATCCTAATACATAGAAGAGACAGGAAAATAATATTCTGAAGTGTATTACTCCCTTTCTCCTGGTGAACATTCTCCAGGAACTTAATTGTGTATTATGGTAGGTAAGGGCTTCCTATTTATGTGCTCTATTTATGGATATGATTCAGGATTTTGATCTGTTTCCTTTTTCATTAGCAGGAGGACCTGCATGGTCAGCAGTGGTAAGCTAGATAGGATCAAAACTAGTGGAGCAAAGCTTGGAGATGGGGGAACCTGACCAGAGTCTGGGTCAGTTTAGGCTCAGAGAAATACAGTCTAGATAAACTGGACTTGGTTTCCAGGTTCATCCTGAGATCTCTGACTTAGGTCAGGGAATGGGACTTGGAATAGGCAGGGTTGCCTCTGTAATTCAAAAGCTTTTTATACCTCTGGTTGGAGCCTAGTTCTCTCCTACATGCAGGAAGTTTTGAGCAAAAGGTTTTATAGTGGTAAAAACTTCAGTGGTTGCTTTAAGAGGTCTGAGAACACTCTGGAATCATATAATCTATTTTGTGAGTTTTCATTTTCTAGTCAGAGGTTTCATGGCTATTAATAAGAATCTCAAAGAACTTTGTGCCCACAGTAGGGTAAGAAATCTGTCCTAGGGAGTTGTTAACTAGGGCTATAGGATCTATCACAAAGGTCAAGTACTAGCTCTGTAAGGTAGAGGGGAGTACTTTTTCCAGGTGTGGAGGGTTTTAAAATCCAGGTTTAAGGTGTTCATTCCTTGTTAACTTGCAGTCATTCGTGGAGAGAATGACTCATTGTTTTGTCTGGTCTCCAGTGGTCCCTATCAAAAACCTGAGAATGAGTAACATTCGATTAATTCGATTAAAAGCTTATCTTGAAATAAATATGGAACAATTTACATTACTGATGGGATGTAAATTTGTTTAACCACTTTATAGCAGTTGGACATTGTCTGGTCAAGTGAGAAGATGTGCATATATTATGGCCCAGCAATGCCACTCATAGGTGTTTGGTAAAAGAAATCACACATGCCAGAAATATCACAGGAGCGTTGCTTGAAATAGCCCCAGATTAAAATCAATCTCAGTGTCCATCAGTAGTAGGCTGGAAAAATAGCATTATATTTATACAGTGGAATGTAGTGAATCAACTGTTGTACAAATGTAGGAACAACATGGGTAGATCTTAAAGACGTGGTGTTGACAAAAGGACTAAGACTTAAAAGAATACATAAAATATAGTTTCATTCATAATACAGTTTTACGTCAAAACAAAAATAATAGAGTAAAGCAGTGAAATGATTGCTCGAAAAGTCAGGATAATAGTTATTTCTAGATGGGAAATAGAATTGTGATTTGGAAGATAGGTACACACAGGGCTAAGGCCATGCACCATTGGCCTGTTTCTTGGAAACATATTTGTTTTTTAATTACTCATGAAGTATAGAGTTGTATCTTAACGACTTCCATGTCTGTATGCTATATTTCACAATTAAATTGTTTAAAAAAGGAAATGAAATTCTACTTTGCTATTTGAAATGAGAAAAGTCTTGCAGTCATTCGTGGACTTTTTGTGTTAACTTTTTTGTTTGTGTAGCCAGGTATTATTGCAGTGTTTGTATGATTCAGACCCTCCTACTCTGCTGGAAACAAGTAGGTAAGGAATCTAGCAAAGTAGAGTTAACATTTCATGCTTGAATTCCCTTTACTGTTTTTGAAATACAGATATTAAACTCACATTTATCATGTAGGTTGTTGCTTACTTGCCTTTCCCAGACAGAGGTGGCCAGTGTCTGGGTTGAAAGAATCCGGGAACATCCAGCTATTTATGATAGCATTTGCTTCATCATGTCTAGTTCAACAAATGGTAAGTCACCATGTAATCTAGAAAAAAAATATTTCTGATAATATTTAATTGTTAGAAAACCAGGCAGCTATTTCTGGAAGTCACTGGAGAAAAAACAGACTGTGAGATGAGAAAGTAGTTCAATTCAAGATATAAAATTTCTTCTTAAACTACCAGGATACTGATAAATCCACTGTTTAAAGTGAAGAAGGGCAAGCAAATTTAAACAAAGGAGTTAAACAAATTGCTTTTGGAATAAGTAATATTTTGGGATAGTTTGACTTTCTTGGAATAGCTTTAGGAATTTTGATTAAACTGACTACTTTAGAATTTTTTTCCCTGATTTCACCATCTGTTCTAATCTTTGCAGTTGACTTGCTAGTGAAGGTTGGAGAAGTTGTGGACAAACTTTTTGATTTGGATGAGAAACTAATGTTGGAATGGGTTGGAAATGGGGCTGTTCAGCCTGTGGACCAACCTCCAGAAGGTTCTGAAGAGCGACCAGTGTTTAAAATTGTGCCCTCTGTACTTGAAGCTGCAAAACAAATACGGTAGGTGACCTCTTTTGTGCAAAATATGGGAAAATCCAATCACTAGAGGTATATTTGTCAGTCTTTTTAGTTTCTTTTCTGCAGATGAATAGCATACAGCTGATCTTTGTCAGGTTTTATTGAGTACTGCTGTTTGTGGTGACAAGTGTTCTCTCCTCACAAGAATCATAATGGTTACAAAGTACCTACTCTAATATAACTTAGCTCTCTCTGCTATTGTTCAGGATTAATTACACTTACTGTGTTCAAATCTGCAATTTTGTGAAATTTAAATCAAATAGAAAAGGTTTTCTTGAGCTTTATTTTCCATGGATTTAACAACTTCTGCAACTAACATTAGACATCCTCTGTTTTCTTGCTTCTTACATGTGTATGTATGCCGGGCTTGGATAAGTGACCGACTATAGGGCTCTGATGTCTTTCTTTGGGTGATTACTAAGTCTTTTTTTTTTTTTTTTTAATAGAGGCATGTTTTATTTATTTATTTGTTTGTTTGTTTGGTTTGTTTATACAAGCACTGGGTACAGTCAGAAGCATGGGAGGGGAGGGTGAGAGAATTCACCAGAGTCAGAGCGGGGAGCAGAGCAGGCAGAAGGACCTAAGTACGCTGCTGAGGGGAGCAGCGGGCGGCAGGAGAGGTCTGCGCGCCATGTGGGACCCTCCTCCGGTGGCAGGGGAGCAGCCGGTGGGACCCTCCTCCAGTGGCCGGGGAGCAGCCGGGAATCGAACCAGCGCCGCAGAAGCCGCGGGCACCTTTACAACCCAGCGCTCAACCACTGCGCCACTGGGGAGGCCCTGATTACTAAGTCTTATAGGTCATTGGAACTGTTTATTGTTAGCCACTAGAAAATTAATGTATGCATTAATCTGTTTAATCGTCAATTGTATATCTTAATAATCCACATTAAAGGCAGTTCATTTCATGTGCTTTTCCTACTCTAAGTGAGGATTAAACTCATCTTTTCCCCAAGCCTGCTCTTCAGCTTTCTCAATCTCAGTAAATGACGTAATCATTATTCTGTTTGGATAATATGGAAGAAACGTGGAGCCATTACTGATTCTTCCTTGTTCTATTCTTTGCCCATGGCCAGTCACTCACAAAGCCTTGTTTCTGACATTTTCTGGAATCCCATCCTTCGCACTGCTTGGTAGCTGTTTTTTACTTTGACAACTGGAGCATTTTCTTACCTGAGATTCCTGCCCCAAAGCTTGCTCCTTCCAATCTTAGACTCCAGAACCATCCTTCCAAAATACACATTTGAGGGCCTCCCCGGTGGCGCAAGGGGTTAAGACGCAACCTGTGAAGCTGCCTGCAGCCACTGCGGCATGAGGTATCCCCGGCCGGCCAGGGAGCAACCCACATGGTGCAGCAGACCTCTCCTGACTCGCCTGCTGCTCCCCTCAGCAGTGTACTTCAGTCAATCCGCCTATTCTGTTCCCCACTCTGTCTCTGGTGAGTCCTCTAACCCCCTGCACCTCTGGCCTATACCCCAGTTCTTGTGTGCCTAAATAAATGAAAGAAAATCTTTAAAAAAAAACAAAACAAAAAATATACATTGAGCATCTCACTTTCTGTTCAAATTCTTCAGTTGCCTTTCTTAATTAGCATAGATTTTTGATTTAATTTTTAAAAATTATTTTCTTGCGTCATTGTTCATTTTTGTACAGTATTTGATTTCTCCTCTCAGATGCAATCCCATAATTCTCCCACCACCACAGCACCTGTGACCCATCATCTTAGTCCCTGTGCTCTTCCCTCCCGTGGTTTGACTCCTCTCTTCCCCCTCCCCTGCTGTATGCCTTAGATCTATGGTCAGCTTGCAAAAGTTTGTCTTTTTTTCTAACCCTTTGTTTGGTTTCACTATATATTCCACATGTAAGTGAAACCATAGGATAGATTTTTTAAAAACCTGTCTTACAAACTCTGCACAATGTTTCTCTATTTTTAACCCTGGTACTCTTGTGTTTCAACTTTATGAGATTTTTTTCATTTCTTCAACTGAACCAAGCTCCTTTGTGTATAAACCTTTGCACACTATTTCCTCACTCAAACTTTCTTTGCCCATTCAGGTTTCTGTGTAAACATTTTTGTTATGATACTTTCCTTGACTCTCCAAATTAAATTACATCTGCTTGCTATGTGGTCCTCTAGCACCTTGGACTTCTTCTAGCATTACATCCATCTCACTTTATTGTAATTACCCCTTTACTCATCATCTCTTCTAGATCATAAACATTATAAAGGTAGAGGAACTGTGTCTTGTATATTTCTGTTTTTATAGCCCGGACATAATGCCTGAAAACATTGTTAAGAATATATTTTCTGAGGGGACTCCCCGGTGGCACAGCGGTTGAGCGCTGGGTTGCGAAGCTGCCCGCGGCCTCTGCAGCGCCGGTTTGATCCCCGGCTGCTCCCCGGCCACCGGAGGAGGGTCCCACATGGCACGCAGACCTCTCCTGCCGCCCGCTGCTCCCCTCAGCAGTGTACTTCGGTCCTTCTGCCTGCTCTGCTCCCCGCTCTGGCTCGGTGAATTCTCTCACCCTCCCGCACTTCTGACTGTACCCAGTGGATGTATAAACAAAAACATACAAACAAATAAAATAAATAAAAACATGCCTCTATAAAAATAAAAAAAAAATCCTAAAAAAAAAAGAATATATTTTCTGAGCTATTGTTTAATTGTTCTTTATCTTTTTACTTAAATATTTGGTTGAAAATCTAGGATTGTGAATGTCTAGGAATCCAAACAATTATACTTATGTGGTTTTAATACTCTCAGCTGGGCAACTAGAATATCCTATGAAGTTTTAGAACATTATTATTGTCAGTGCTTAGTGCAGTGGGCCTTATGTTACTTTTCAAAAAGTCTCATTTTTTGTTCTGATTATTTAAGTAAACCAGAATGATGAAGTATCTCCTTGCAGGTTTCTGCAGTGTTGCTTTCATGGAACAGAACCAAAAAGAATTTTTACTTCTTACCCTGCATGTTGATTATATTACATAATACTTGTTTTTGATTGCTATCCCCCATTAGAATGTATGCTCTGGTGAATGCAGACTTTGTCCTGTTCTCTATTTTATCCTGGGCATATAGAACAGTGACTAGGCCAGTGATAAATATTTGTTGATTGAATGATTGATTGCAGTGCTGTAAACTGTAAAGTTGTTGATTCAATGCTTTTGCTTTTTACATTTAGTTCTGAACATCTGGAAGGACTTGATGTTTACATGCATATCTTACAGCTGCTTACCACAGAGGATGATGGAATTCAAGCAATTGGTAAGATGTTATATAGGGAAGCACTATAGTTACTCATTACATTGTTTTCTGTTTTTAAATTACTACTTTCTTTGTTGTCTTTATTAAGTACAGTGTCCTAATACTGGAAAAGACACTTGGAATTTACTTTTTGATCTGGCCTGCCATGAATTTTGTCAGCCTGATGATCCACCCATCATACTTCAAGAACAGAAAACAGTGCTAGCCTCTGTTTTTTCAGTATTGTTTTCCATCTATGCTTCAGAGGCTGAAGAGGAGAATCTAAAGATTGAAAATGGCAAGTATCATTTTACTTTACTAAGTTTCTAGTCTTACCAGATTGATAGACCAGGCTACCCACTTGGGACCCCTCTCTGTTCAGAGAGCTTTGCTGTCCTTCTCTTTATATGATAATAAACTTGCTTTTCTGACTTAAAAAAAAAATTGTAGCCCAGGGTGTTGTTCATTTATTTCTTTTGCCCACATTTTAAGGTCCTTTTATTACCTGATTACAAAAATATTATATGTTCAATGCAAAAAAGTTTGTGAAATTTATAAAACATAGTGCTTGTAATCCTGTCATCCAGAGGTGACAGGGGACTTGGAAATTTAGTCATGGGAGGTCCCCAGGAAAGGCAAAAGTCAACAAGGACATCGTACTTTTCATATATATTTTTAAGTCCTCCTTTCTTGGCAGCTGTTTTCATTTAGAAATATAAAGTGGGGCCTCCCTGGTGGCCTATAGGTTAAGTCTTAGCACTATCATCACTCTAGCCTGAGTTCGATCCCCAGCCAGGGAGCTAACCCACATGAAGCAGCAGACCTCTCCTGTTTTGCCCGCTGCTCCCCCTTAGCAGTGTATTTGTCAGTCTGCCTGTTCTGCTCCCCATTCTGTCTCTGGTGAATCCCTCACCCCGCCATACCTCTGGCCTACAACCCCAGTTCTTCTATGCAAAAGAAAATATATTTATATACACACATACATACACACGCACGCACAAACATGCACATACATATATAAAATGAATATTTTCCTATGTAAACAAATGCTCTGTTACAGAATGATTTTATGGTTGCAATTAAATTGTTGATTCCTCTTTAATTTATAGTCTCAACTTTTTTCCCAGATGGCTACCTAATTATCACAGTACCACTTAGTGAATAAATCATTTTCCCCACACTGGATTGAAATTTCATCATTACTTTGTTGTGAATTTGTCTGCGTATTTAGTTCCAGTGCTCTATTTATGTATCAGTACATAATCAGTGCTCTATTATGTATAGTGTTTTAATTATTAAAACTTTGTTTTGATACCTAGTAGTGTTGCTTGGATGATTTATACTGCTTTTGATACTTTTTCCGCCTATCTTGTGTTTGAGGTTTCTATTGTGTCCTAGCTTTATCCAAGCTGGAGTTTGTTTTTTGATGCTCATTTTCTTGGTTTCTTGGTGATGATTTCTAAAAGGAAAAGAAAATGTCTTTAGTGTACATCCTAACAACCTGTATATATGTTTTTCTGTTGAAAAACAGAGAGTTTTTATTTGGAATACTAGGAACACATCTTTCTTGATATATGATTAGGTGTTGTATTCCCCACCTTCCACAGCTTAATGACTGTTATGATTGCATGAGAAAGTGTAGAAATGCTCTTTTTACTCCATGCCACTGATTAACTCCCAGTTCCCTCATCCTCCCTAAGCTTTGAATAGGCTTTGTGGATTAGGGTTGGGAGGAGTAAGAGAGAAGAGATTCTGGTATCCTGTAGATTGATGCGAGCTGCAAGGAATTTGTGGAGTAATGTATTGGGTGCCGGAATGAAGAGTTGCTGGAGAAAGATAATAGAGTGGGAGTAAATCCGAGGGGAGTATAATAAAGCAGCCAGACAGGAGAAGTGCTCTAAAGAGGTGACACTGAGGTGAAAACTACAGGATAAGATTTCCCTGAGTGCCAGTTTTTTTAAACTTTGATTTTCATGTACTGAAGTTTGGTTAGATATTTTAGTTCGTTAGACCTAAGTGAAGTTAGATTTTTTTTAATCAATATACTGATTCAGTGTTGTAGGAAACTTTTTCTCTGGATTTGTAATTACTAAGAAGAAATGGTAGAGTTAGAAAGGAAATCGGAGTGACAGCTTTTGGTGTGTTCATGCTAGAGTGTCTGTTTTTCAGTCTGTGCTGTAGTTTTATGTTCAGTTTTTATTATAGGTTTATTTAAAAGTTATAGGTTAATTAAAATGATTGACCATCTTTTAAGTAATTGTACTACTTTTAACTTAATAAAGCATAAGATTTCAAAGCTGTAAGATTTTAATGATAGGGCCTCCCTGGTGGCGCACGGGGTTAAGCACCACACTGTGAAGCAGTCTGCAGCCTCTGCAGCACGAGTTCGATCCCGCCCCGCCAGGGAGAAACCCACATGGTGCAGCAGACCTCTCTTGACTCGCCCGCTGCTCCCCTGAGAAGTGTACTGCCTGTTCTGTTCCCCACTCTGTCTCTGGTGGATCCTCTCACCCCGTGCATCTCTGGCCTGTACCCCACCAGCTCTTGTATGCATAAATAAATCTTTTAAAAAAAATTTTAAAGTTTAAAATTCTAATTCTTTTCTCACTGTGGCCTCCAAGGCCCTACATGATAGGACTCCTGCCTAACTCTCAGAACTCATCTTGTACCCTCCTGTTCCACTCACTCTGTTTAAGCCACACTAACCTTTGTTCTTCAGACCTTCTGTAACATTTCTTGCTTGGGTCTTTTGCACTTATTCCCTCAGCCTGAAGTGTTTTCCTGGACTCTGAAGTATTATTCTCAGCTCTGTGTCATCTCTTCAGAGAACCTTCACTGCCAGCTGCTTTATTATATTCCCCTTTAATTTCCGTCATAGACCTTAGTGAAACCCGAAATGATCTGTTTTATTCTTTCGCTTTTTTGAGAATATAAAAATGTAAGCAGTTTGAAGGCTGAGTTCTTGATAATCTTGTTTACCACTGTATCTGTAGTACCTAAAATAGTGTCTAACACTAGATATTCAGAGTATGAATGAAAGAGAAACCAAATTTAAGTAATTTCATGCCTCTTGATTTGTTTATACAGTAGAACTCCCTCTAATTGATAGCCTGATTCGTGTCTTGCAAAATTTGGAACAGTGTCAGAAGAAACCAGAGAACTCGGCAAACTCTAACACAGAAGACACTAAAAAATCTGATTTGACCCAAGATGATTTCCACTTGAAAATCTTGAAGGATATTTCATGTGAATTTCTTTCTAATATTTTTCAGGAATTAACAAAGGTAAGGGAAAAAAAGTTTTAAACAAAAGAATGGATTGCTTAATACTCTGACTTTTATTGCTATTACTTTGTTTTGTTTTTTAATATAAGACTAGTATAACCATATGAATTTAGGGAAATAGAGAAGGAGTAAACCTGTCACCATTAGTTTATATTCTTAAACAGTTGATGTAGTGTTGTATAGTTATAGTTTCTACAAACTTATAACTTGGTATATACAATTTTTTTTTAAATATTTATTTATTTATTTATACAAGCACTGGGCACAGTCAGAAGCGCGGGAGGGTGAGAGAACTCACCAGAGCCAGAGCAGGGAGCAGAGCAGGCAGAAGGACCGGAGCACGCTGCTGAGGGGAGCAGCGGGCGGCAGGAGAGGTCTGCGCGCCATGTGGGACCCTCCTCCGGTGGCCGGGGAGCAGCCGGGGATTGAACCAGCGCTGCAGAGGCTGCGGGCAGCTTCACAACCCAGTGCTCAACCACTGCGCCACTGGGGAGGCCCGGTATATACAATTTTTTAGAGTGATCTTTTCAGTTGACATTGTACTATAAACATTTTTCTTGACTCCAGTTCAATTCACTGAAAAATTTTCCATTAGAGCCAGTTCAATATACGATTTACCCCCCAAAAAATCAGTTTTCAAAATTTACTGAAAACTTTTTTTAAGTAATATTCTTCCTGAATATGTTCAGGATTATTAGCATGTTCTTCCTTTAAGCATACCCTTTATATCCATCTATTTTAGAAAAAAAACATACTTGTGCATATTCATTGGATTTTTGCTTCCCTTTCCTGATTTGGGATTACTTTAGCATAGGTTTTTCAGAAGTCAGATTACTGGGTTCAACACTATAAATATGAAGATAACTGAGGTAAAATGGCAAGCTATTGCCAAAATGCTTTACTCAATCCTTATTATTGGTTTGTATCAATTAACCAAATATAGTTTTAGAAACCTTCCTTTTTTGACATTATATCTTTTTATTTTGTTGCTTTAGGAGACTGTGGCTCAGGGACTAAAAGAGGGCCAGTTAAACAAGCAGAAGTGTTCCTGTGCATTTCAAAACCTTCTTCCTTTCTATAGCCCCATGGTGAGTATGAATAAATGTATAGGTGACTGAGTTTTGGAGGATTACTAAATAAAATGTTTTGAGTAATAAGCACTTGATCTTTGAGGCAGTTGTCCAAAGATAGTGCATACAAGTACAAGATATAATGCCTTTGTCAGATAGGAGACTGCTGGAGAATTTATTGGAGTAACTTATGTAACAGTATAAATTTTACTGTCTTTTTTTGAGGTAACATTGGCACAGTTCATATTTTAAAAGAAAGGAATCAACACTAAACTTACTCTTTCTGATATGAAATAGCATATTTTTATTTTTTTTTAAAGATTTATTTATTTATTTATTTAAATTTATTTATATAAGCACTGGGTACAGTCAGAAGTGCGGGAGGGTGAAAGAATTCAGCAGAGCCAGAGCGGGAAGCAGAGCAGGCAGAACGACCGAAGTACACTGCTGAGGGGAGCAGCGGGCAGCAGGAGAGGTCTGCGCGCCATGTGGGACCCTCCTCCGGTGGCCGGGGAGCAGCCGGGGATCGAACCAGCGCTGCAGAGGCTGCGGGCAGCTTCACAACCCAGCGCTCAACCGCTGCACCACCGGGGAGGCCCTGAATTAGCATATTTTTAAACAAAAATAGCATTCTTAGATAGTTTTAGTCAGTTTTTAATGATTCTTCAAATTATATCACACTTGCTACCATTATACCTACTTCAAAATAGGAACTTTTTTTTTTTTTTTTTTTTTTACTTTTAAGAGGCATGTATTTTTATTTATTTACTTATTTTAAAGATTTATTTATTTATTCATACAAGCACTGGGTACAGTCAGAAGCGCGGGAGGGTGAGAAAATTCACCAGAGCCAGAGCAGGGAGCAGAACAGGCAGACCGACGAAATACACTGCTGAGGGGAGCAGTGGGCGGCAGGAGAGGTCTGCACGCCATGCGGGTCCCTCCTCCGGTGGCTGGGGAGCAGCCAGGGATCGAACCGGTGCCACAGAGGCTGCGGGCAGCTTCGCAACCCAGCGCTCAACCGCTGCGCCACCCGGGAGGCCCAAAATAGGAACTTTTTTAGGAAAATGAAATATGTAATGTGGGAGTGTTTGAACGTGTTAGCCAGGAGGGTGATAATAAAGCTCCCCCTAAAGGGAAGCAGGGAGAGGATACATACTAGTTAAGAGTAAAACAAAGTGGCAAGGACTAGTTACTTCCTTAATATTTCAGAGCACTAAAAAATACTTTTGTCATTTGTGGATCTGTCAACATTTCCTTTCCCTTGGACTATTTGGAAACCACGGAACATTTTATATTTAAGAATCAATATCGAAAACTAGCTTTTCCTCTATTTATATTCCTTGATTCTTTTGTTTGACTCACAGGTGGAAGACGTTCTCAAAATCCTGCGTGAAGTTGATAAGACCCTTGCTGATGACCTGGAAGAAACCTTCCCAAGTTTGAAGGTTCAAACTTAAAAACTGAATTGGAATTTCCTCTGCCCAAGAAATAAACTTTATTTTCCTCATTGACAGTGGAAATTGACATCTGGGCAATACCAGATAAAACATGTATTAGTCCATAGTTGTCTGGTATTACGTTCATGCCCTTATTTCTCTCCCAGTCTTACCTCACTTTTGTTTAACTTTGTCTTCTGGATTTTGCCACCATCATATGTTTCCCCTTACCCTCCCTTTTTGGCATTGCTTGTGTGGTTGTCACCTGTAGGTGAAGAACACAAAAATATAAACTTATATTGAGGTTCTTTTTAAAATATTTGAGGGGTTGGTTAGAATTTTCTTCATAACTCAATTTGATTTTTATGTGAGTATTTTGTATTTGTAGCCTTTACAAGCACATTCAGGTGCACTAATAGAAAAGCCTACTATAACAGCTTAATGCAATAGCTTTTATGTATCTTATGCAATAAGAATTCCAGAAGTAGGCAGTCCAGACCTGATAAGGTGGCTCAGGAAACCTGACTCCTTTCACTTCCATGTGGTCTGCCTCATAGGCCTTTGTGTTCATGTTTATTGTCTTACCGTTAAGGGGTCTTTAATATCTCCAGACTTTTCATCCATATTCAGGGAGGATTTAGGTAGGTGAGACAAAAGGGCTTTATCCTAACAAGTCTTTACCTCTTTATTTGAAAAGGACAGCCCTCTTGCCTAGAACTGTGTCACTTGGTCATCTTTAATTGCAATTATTTGAAATCAAATACTTTTTAATTTTTTCTGGTTTCTCTTGGAGAGAAACAGATGATAGAAGGGGGATATGAATGGCTTTTGGGTGGCCAATCTAGGTGTTTGCCACAGTTTGCAAACATATTTTGTGACTGTTAATTGTATTAATTGTATTGTAGTAACTCAAAAACAGTTATCTTTTAACTTTGTTACCAGTCAATTTTCATTTTCAGTGTTGTATGTATGGAGATAGGAAGCTGGCATTTTGATGGAAGTGTGTTAGTAAAATTCTCTATTTTCAGCATAATTCCTGTGGTTGAATTTCAGAAAATAATTTGAGTGAATTCAGATTTTTTAAATTAATATTGAGAATTTTATAACTTTGGGTGGTTTACACACTTAGTTGCACCTAATTTCCCTCTTATGTCATCTTGATAGTGTTTCCTAATGAAGTATATTCAGAGAGTCAACCAGAAACACTGAGTTTGTATTATTTCACTTACTGAGAGTGGAATTTTTAATAGATTTTAAGAAAATGTCAGTTATGAGGGCCTCCCCAGTGGTGCAGCGGTTGAGCGCTGGATTGCGAAGCTGCCCGCAGCCTCTGTGGCGCCAGTTCAATCCCCAGCTGCTCCCTGGCCACCAGAGGAGGGTCCCACATGACACGCAGACCTCTCCTGTGGCCCGCTGCTCCCGTCAGCAGTGTGCTTCGGTCCTTCTGCCTGTTCTGCTCCCCGCTCTGGCTCTGGTGAATTTTCTTACCCTCCGGCACATCTGACTGTACCCAGTGCTTGTGTAAATAAATAAATAAACAAATAAACAAACACAAATAAATATCTTTTAAAAAAAGAAAGTATCAGTTATGAATAACAGCTTTTAAAATCTCTCTTCTGGTACAGCCCCTCCCCATTTTATTTTCAGAATCTATTTGGCTTTAAAGCATTGGCCTTGCTTCCTACTTTCTTTCTGTGAATTACTCCTTTTTTTTTAATTGGACTTTAAGATTTATTTATTTATACAAGCACTGGGGTATAGGCCAGAGGTGCGGGAGGGTGAGAGAATTCACCAGAGACAGAGCAGGGAGCAGAATGGACGGAAGGACCAAAGTACACTGTTGAGGGGATCAGCGGGCGAGACAGGAGAGGTCTGCCTCACCATGTGGGAATCTCCCTTGCCGGCTGGGAATCGAACTGGTGTTGCAGAGGCTGCGGACAACCTCACAGTATGGCGCTCAACCCGTTGCACCACCAGGGAGGCCCCTTGAATGACTCTTGCTGGTAAAACACAGGGATACCATTGGAAGGAGTGATCTATTTTCCACTTTGGTGCTGGTTTTATTATTGAACATGTCCCTGCTGAAAAGAATTGGGCTCTGACATTAAACTTTTATTTTGTGTATATTTTTATGTCTTCATTGACAGTCTGAACATAACTAAATAAGATTTCAAGTACATTAATGAATTCACTCCTATTTGCTAAGGTGAAGGTGCAAATAACTCCTTAAGATTAATACTCCAAGTTATTAGTCATATTCGCCTCAGTGCAATTTGAATTTCATAATTTCCTTCTGAGAGCACATTTTAAAAGGGGAGCACAATAACCTAAGGTCTCTGAGGGAAAGAGTGACACTCAACATGGGTAAGTTAAAGAGGGAGAGAAAGGATATGTCAGGAGGACTAGGGACATACAAATATTTTCTGCTTCCCATTTCTGCCTTGGACCTGAACTTGTTACTTCTTGCAACATTATGAGGTGATACTTACTTTTCAGTAGTATTTTGATACTTAAAACTTTCTAAATCTCAAAATTATAATGTCTTAAAAAATAAAACATGAGCCATGTTAAAACTTAAAAATGCTCACAACTTGAAGAATTATGAGGTGATACATACTTTCAGTAGTATTTTGATGTACTTGAAAATCTCTAAATCTCGAAATTATAAATGTTTTAAAAAATAAAACATGGGCCTCCCTGGTGGCACAAGGGGTTAGGACGCAACCTATATAGCTGTCCGCAGCACAAGTTTGATCCCCAGCCAAGGAGCTGTCCACATGGTGCAGCAAACCTCTCCTGCCTGGCCTGCTGCTCCCTTCAGCAGTGTATTTCAGTCAGTCTGCCTGTTCTGTTCCCTACTCTGTCTCTGGTGAGTCCTCTCACCCCCCACACCTCTGGCCTGTGCCCCAGTTCTTGTATGCATAAATAAATAAATCTTAAAAAATAAAACATGAGCAGTGTTAAAACTTAAAAATGCTCACAACTTGAAGAATTTACCAAAAAGATTACTTACATCAATTACAGTGATATTTTGAAAGAAGCATAAATAGGAAATTTTTGGAATTTCGTTTACAAATGAAATTGAATCCCCAATACTTTTTTGCAGAGGAGGGGAAAATTTACAAGGAGAACTTGAGTTAGCTTTGTTAAATATGTCATTTCTGATTAAATTTGAGTTTGATGTTTGAAGCATTTAAACCATTGACGATAGCACGAAAGGTATGTTTTCCTCTGCCTTTTTGAAAAAAGTTTTTCCTTTGCATTTAATGGAATCTAGCTAAATTGTTTTTCTGACTGATGTAACTTTAAATCAAGACATTTCCACTTTATATAACAAGCCACTACCCTGAATAATTCTGACATGTAATTAGAAAAAATGTGAGAGCCACCTCTCAACATATACTCTTTTTTTGATGAAGTACATGTAGAAACCAACCATAAACATGAAGAAACAACCTCTGTTCAGGATTCAGAAAGTTTTAAAGACATGAAATGCTGAGAACCATTTTCTGTTCCATAGGATGGTGCTGTAGTGATGCTGTGTCTTAAGAGTTACTGAATTTGAGTAAATTGAAGAAAAAGAATCGGGATTATAGATTATCTTGCCTTTGTAACTAATACAGTTGATCCTTTAATAACACAGGTCTGAACTGTGCAGGCTCACTTATATGCAGATCCACTTTCATACATGGATCTTTATTTTCAGCCCTTGGATCCTGCATTCATAAATTCATTGAACCACTGATGTGGGATGATTGGTTGCTTGCGTGCTTGAATCCACAGATGTGGAACAACATGTATGAAGGGCTGACTGTAAATTATTCCAGGATTTTTGACTGTTTGGGTTGTATGTACCTCTGACCCCCAAATTGTTCAGAGGTGAATTGTATTTTTTAAATCCATTAATAGTCTTATGTTTTTTTTTTTTTTAAAAATAGGTGCATATTAATTTAGAACTGAATTGTACATTCTCCTTGAGCATATGTTGTTTTATCACTTTGCAACACCAGTCTCCTCTCTGCTCTTGGCAGTAGTTTTTAGAAAGAGAAAATAGATGGGGCCTCCCTGGTGGCGCAGGCAGTTGAGTGCAGCGCTGTGAAGCTGTCCTCAGCCTCTACAGTGCCTGTTCGATCCCCACCGGCCTTGGAGCAACTCACATGACGAGCAGACCTCTCCTGTCTCGCCCGCTGCTCCCCTCAGCAGTGTATTTTTTTTTTTTTAAATATATAGCTACAGGTAGGGCCTCCCTGGTGGCGCAGCGGTTGAGCGCTGGGCTGCGAAGCTGCCCACAGCCTCTGCAGCGCCGGTTCGATCCCCGGCCACTGACGAGGGTCCCACATGGCGCGCAGACCTCTCCTGCCGCCCGCTGCTCCCTTCAGCAGTGTACTTCGGTCCTTCTGCCTGTTCTGCTCCCCGCTCTGGCTCTGGTGAGTTCTCTCACCTTCCCGCGCTTCTGACTGTAACCAGTGCTTGTATAAATAAATAAATAAAATTAAAAAAAAAAAAAGAAAGCTATGTTACTTTAAAAAAAAAAAAAGATATATATATAGCTACAGGGGTCTCCCTGGTATCCCAGAGTTTGTTTATTTTTATAGAGGCATAGTTTATTTATTTGTTTGTTTGCTTTGTTTTTTTTTTTTTTTTTACAAATGTTCACCATTTCTTTTTTTTTTTTTTTTTTTTTTAAGATTTATTTATTTATACAAGCATTGGGTACAGTCAGAAGCGCGGGAGGGTGAGAGAATTCACCAGAGGCAGAGCGGGGAGCAGAGCAGGCAGAAGGACCGAAGCACACTGCTGAGGGGAGCAGCAGGCGGCAGGAGCGGTCTGCGCGCCATGTGGGACCCTCCTCCGGTGGCCGGGGAGCAGCCGGGGATCGAACCGGCGCTGCAGAGGCTGCGGGCAGCTTCTCAACCCAGTGCTCAACCGCTGCGCCACCGGGGAGGCCCTGTTTGCTTTGTTTATACAAGCACTGTGTACAGTCAGAAGTGCGGGAGGATGAGAGAATTCACCAGAGCCAGAGCAGGGAGCAGAGCAGGCAGAAGGACCGAAGTACACTGCTGAGGGGAGCAGCGGG